CGCCCCCGGCCTGACCCAGCCCCTGCGAGTCCCCGACTCAGCTGTTCTGAACACAAGCCTCCCCCCTCGCTGCCCGATGTCCGGCTTGGCTCGGCTCGCCTCGGCCAGGCGCTGGCCCGCCCCGGCCGACACATGTCAGGGGAGCGTAAGGTGGCTGAGGTAGCGGTTTCCCTGATGTTTGATCATCCCCGTCGCAACCTCAGCGGAGCGGCCGCGGCCCCACGCCCCGGCAGCCTGACGGCCCCCGCCTTTCTCAAGGGCGCCCTCTCTTCCCACCTCCCCACCACTTCCTTTGCGCGCCCGACCCCTCTCCTCGGACGCAACCCTGTTCGAGATTTTATACTGTGCATGTCATGCGCTGTAACTAGAGTTACAGTAGTCTGCAACGTTCAACCAGATAATGTGTTTGTTGAATCAAACTTATTTCCTTTGGCCATGTCCAAAGAAATTGTTAACTGCATTTTATAGTCAAAAATATTGAAACAATAAAAATCTGTGGTGAGGACAACGAATCAAAATTTGTAACAAAAAGTTCTCTTCAAATAAAATATAAAATTTCTCTGGGCATGACATGGTTGAAATTAAATCTGTTGATTCAAAGAAAACACTTTCTGGGTGTTTGACAACTATTGAACCACTTCTGATTTTGCATAAAATATGTTTTGTGTGAAATTGTGTGTTTACACTGCGCAGTAGCAATCCTCTCGAGTTCTCGAAAACTGAAAACTAATACTGTTTGTTACAAAATTTGAATATGTAATAATTGTTTGACGTGTGCGCGCACTTGAAATGTGTGTGCGAGTCACCCGGCTTGACCCGCTCCGTCCGGCTGGGACCCGGACTGTTAATCTCCAGGACCCTGACGCCCAGCAGTGGCGGGGGCTGTGCGTAGCGGGGCGTAGCGTGGCGGGGCGGGGCGGGGCGGGGCGTGTGGACCGCAGCTAGTGGCCGGCCCACAGTCCTAGGTCTCTCTCCTGCCTGCCGGCCCGGCTCGCATCCCGCTCA